TGTTGTTTTGTTCGACAGGTGAGAAGTAGCTGAAAATAACCTCAGTCTCTGCTGTCAGAGTTTTGCTTGTTCAGTGACTTAGGCACCAGAGTCGCATTGTGCTGTAGGAATTTGCACTATTTTTAGCAAGATGTTAAATGAGAGTTTTCAGGCTTCTCTGGTTATGAAATAGGGAATGTGTTTTATAGGCTACAATTTGGGGGCCTGCCTATGCCCGGAGCAGTTGCCATCCAGGCTGAGGAGGGCCTGGGGCTGGCAGGTTATGCAGAGCCCCGTCTGGTTACCTCTGTGGGCGCCCAGGCCTCTGGTGGCCACACCCAGGTGGTGAGCACGCTGCAGAGCCACTGGTCACCCCTCTTCATCCCCACCCGGGGGTGGGTAACCTCACAACCTACCGGGCAGGCGGGGGTCAGCAGGGAAAGCAGTGCTTCTCGGACTTCGGGTGCTTCTAAGTCACCTGGAAATGTGAAAAGTCATACACTCCTGGGGCTCAGGAGTCCAACCCAGTGGATCTGGGGTGGGCCTGGGAACTTGCATGCCTGGGAGGCAGGCGGTTCCAGCCCACATCAGGAAGACCCCTGGGGGCATTGCGGTCTGTAGTGAGAAACTTGCGTTTGGTCTGTTCCTGGCACTGAGCTCCTAAAAGCCCATGGGATTCCCTGCAATGATAGTGAGGATTGTGTGCCCTTTTTTTTTAAACTTTTTTTTAAAAAAAATTTTTAATTTATATCTATTTTCCATTGTTCATTTTTAAACAATGTTTGCTTCTTTCCCCTGCCTCAGATTTAGTCCCCGTAGAGTTTCCTTCCCCAATGCACCCGTGCACCATCACCTCAGTCCCCTGTGCTCCTCCCTCCCTCCCTCCCTCTTCTCCCTTCCCCTCCCCCTCCCCTGCAGCTGGGGGGGATGGGGGGTGGGGGGTCTGAAGAGCAGCATATCAGAGGGGCAGAGCCTCCAGTCAGTCCCATCCTGACCTCAGGGAGGGAAGCAGAAGGGCAGGCTGAATGCAAGCACCAATCACTGATCAAATCCATCCATCATACCTGAGTAGCGGAAACCCCAGAGGAGGGGGATCCGAGTGCGGGTTGGGGAGCCAGAGCACTTCTTGCACCCAAAAGTCTATGAAAACGGAAGGTCCTCTGTTCAGGGACCCTCCTTGGGCATCTTTTTATGCGACTGGTGACTGGTGACTCTTACCCTTGTGTAACAATCCATTGGCCTGGGGCAATCATTCTTTTGTCAGCGGCACTTACTGAGCACATGCTGAATGCAGAGGGAAAGATCCTGGGTCTCCACATTCCCGCACCCCAGAAGTTTGCTGTGCAAGGAAGAGCCTGAGCCTTCATGCCACAGAAGGATGGACCCACTCAGCCAAGGCACAGGTCCAGCGCCAGGCGTGGCGGGGGCCAGGGGGTGGGGTGAGGTGGGTGCTTAACTCAGGCCATCAAGAAAGAGCCACTTTGCGGTTGGCCTGTCATCTTTTCCCTGAGTCTTCAGAGGAACCCTGCGGAGATACACGCTGCTCTCCACCATGGGAAACTGAGCTCTGGGACTTGAGTGAGTGGCAGCAGAGACCCTGACCAGGAGCCCCTAATGGTCATGCGCCACCCCAGGGTGTTCCAAGCCTGCAGAAGTCAGACCCCATGACTCTCTAGGCCTCTAGGCCTCCTGTTGTTTTTATTTTTTATTGAGCATCTATTATGTGCCAGGTACGGTGACGCGTTTCACAGGTGATGTCCCACTAAAAGGTAAAGTAACTCACTCAGCACAGAGCAGATCTGACCCTGTGCTGGCGGGTGGTGCCCTCGGCCGGCCATGTGTGCTGTCCCCACACATTCCTTCCCAGACCATGAGATCCATGGTGTCGACTCAAGTAACAGGCAGCAAGGACTTAAAAGTTCGTGCCAGTTGCCAAGCCAGTACAAACAGGACCCTCACACCTGCCCCATCCTTACCACGTTCAAATAAGTGTGGCTGTAACAGCAGTGAAGACACTGTCACTCCACTAAGGAACTGGACGTGAGCAGCATGTGGGCCATGAGGCAGGACAAGCCTGAGTCTGGCCTCCATGACCTCAACCCCAGCCCACAGCCCAGGCCTGTGCCACCAACCTACACCCCCAGCCCCACACCTAGCCCACACACCCCTCCCCACGCCTCCAGCCTGCACCCCCATCCAGGCCTTCTTAACCCCAAACAGCACCCTGCGGGCCCTGACCACACAGCGGGCTGTTAGTGTGGTCAGCACTGTGGTTGGAAGTTCTGCACAGCAAGCTTAGTTGAAAACATTTCCTTTTGGACATGGTATTTTGCCCTGATGATAGATTCCTGTCTGCTTGTGTCACTGGGCAGCGCCGTCCCCACCAAGCTGCCCCAGGCTGGGGGCGCTGTCTGATGGGCCCCTCCATGGCTGTGGCCTGGCCTTGAGCCAGGTCAGTGGGCTGAAGGGTCACCTAGTGGCTGCTGCCCTGCCCGCGGCTCCCTTGTTCTGAGTTAAAGTGTGTGAAATGTGCAGAGCAGACAAAGCTGTAGAGAGAATGTGTGTGAGCTGTGGCCGGGGATGGGGGTGGGGATGGGGGGGACTAATAGAAGGAACCAAGTTTCCTTTGGGCGGATGAAAATATTCTAACTTAGGCCCTCCCTGGTGGCACAAAGGGTTAAGAGACAACCTATGAAGCTGTCCGCAGCCACTGCAGCATAAGTTCCATCCCCAGCCAGGGAGCTACCCACATGGTACAGCAGACCTCTCCTGTCTCCCCACTGCTCCCCTCAGCAGTGTATTTAAGTCAGTCTGCCTGTTCTGCTCCCCACTCTGTCTCTGGTGAATCCTCTCACCCCCCACACCTCTGGCCGGCACCCCAGTTCTTGTATGCATAAATAAATCTTTTTTTTAAAAAAAGAAAATTTTTTTTAATTTTATTTTTATATTCCTCATACAATTGCAACCTCCTTATTTTGACCCCAATCCCTCCTTTCCCCACCGTCCCCCATAGTGTGTCTCTGGTTCATAGTTGTTTGTTGATTTTGATTTTCACTTTCTTATAGTTATTCGTTTTCCTGGTCCCTTATTTAAGTTTTCTAGATTCCTGCTATGAGTGAGACCATCCGGTATTTTTCTTTTTCTTTCTGGCTTATTTCGCTGAGCATGATCCCTTCCAGCGTCATCCATGTTGCTGCAAATTGCATGTGTTTATCTTTTTTGAATGCTGAGTAATATTCCATGGTGTATATGGACCACATCTTCTTGATCCAGTCATCTATTTTTGGGCATTTGGGCTGTTTCCAAAGCTTAGCTATTGTAAATAGTGCTGCTATAAACATAGGGGTGCAGGTGCTCTTTGGAATTGATGTTTCTGTGTCCTTTGGGTAAATACCTAGGAGTGGAATTGCTGGATCATATGGAAGCTCTATGTTTAGTAGGTCCAGAAATCTCCACACAGCTCTCCATAGTGGTTGGACCAGTTTGCACTCCCACCAACAGTGTAGAAGAGTTCCTTTTTCTCCACACCCTCGCCAACATTTCCTGTTGCTAGTTTTTTTAATATGTGCCATTCTCACTGGTGTAAGATGGTATCTCATGGTAGTTTTGATTTGCATGTCCCTGATTGCAAGTGATGTTGAACATTTTTTCATATGCGTGTTGGTCATTTGCATTTCCTCTTCAGAGAAGTTTCTTTTTAGCTCTTCTGCCCATTTTTTGACTGGATTATTTTTTCTGTTTTTGTTGACTCTCGTCAGCTCTTTGTAGATTTTTGTGATCAGTCCTTTATCATTAGTGTTGTGTGCAAAAATTTTCTCCCAGTTGGTTGGGAGGTGGTTGCACAACTCTGTCAACCTTCTGTACGATTCAAACTAGTGAATCATACACTGAGTGACTATAGTTTACAGTGCCTGAGCTATGTCTTAATGAAGCTGATGAAGAAAAGTACCTGCTGGTGATTTCATTGAATCGGATCTCTGCTGTGGAGACAGGAAACAGGGCTTGTGGGGGATGAAGGGTGGAGAGATGGGGGCGGGGAAGTTATAAAAAGACTAGACAAAGCTTTTGGGGGGCTCTCGATTGTGGGGATGGTTTTGAACATATATATCTACCCAAATTTATCAAACTTTACATTTTAAACATTGGCAGTTTTTGGCATATGGTCAACTCAATTTTTTAAAAAGCCAGAGCAAAAATATGTGTGAAGTTTGCCAATCTGACAAATATGTCTTGGGTCCTGGTGTAGTGTTGGATGCTGGGGTACAGCATCCAAAGGGAGATACAGTGGCAGAAAGATGGGGCTGATGCTCCTCCCTTCCACAGCTCATCCGCCGTCGGGGCAGAGGCAGGCGTGAGGCACGTGATTGCACAGGTGTCCCTACATCGTGGCGTTGTAGAAACATGCCTGGCACATCATGCCACCCTCCCAGGCACAGGCTTCCTGGAGGAGGCGGCACTTGACTCTGCATTCAAGGGCACGGGGGTATTAGGGTGGCTGTGGCCTCTGCGGTGACCTCACTAGTGTTGTACAGAGGGGTTGCCTCTCAAAGGCCCCGATTGAAGTCTCTGTATCAAAAACCACGTTTCTCCATGGCAGCTGTATCTCAGCGACAATACTTGATGCAGCAGCAGCTTCTCAGCATGGCACAGGGCAGAATTTGTCCAGGTGTGCGCTGTGCTGTCTGTTGATGGTCACTAGTGGGCTGGGTCATGCTCTCATGGGGGAGAGCCTGGCAGTGGCAGGGCTTGACAACATCACTCAGCTGGGTCTGGATTTGGGCTGGGGGTAGACTGCAGAGGAGCATCTTTGGCTGGTGGTCTCGCCTAGCTCAGACATTTTGTGATGGCCTCCCACTGTTCTGGCCCCATCCCCAGCTCCCTCCACCCTGGCCCTGCCTCCACCTGAGTGTTCTAGTGGCCTGTGGGGTCTTCCCAGAAGCTGTGGGGGTGGGGCATCCTGGGGGTGGCTCTGGCTGGGACCTGCTCTGGGCACTCACGCAACTCTCCCCTCTGGCCTCCAGCTCTGCTCTACGCCACCATCTTTGGGAATGTGACGACCATCTTCCAGCAGATGTACGCTAACACCAACCGCTACCATGAGATGCTCAACAGCGTCCGGGATTTCCTGAAGCTCTACCAGGTGCCCAAGGGACTGAGCGAGCGTGTCATGGACTACATTGTGTCCACCTGGTCCATGTCCAGGGGCATCGACACAGAGAAGGTAGGCCCCGTGGGTGCCTCCCTGCCAAGTGTCAGCTCCTGGGTGTGCCGGGCCTGGCCCTGGCCTGCTGTCCTCTCCTGGGCATTAGCGTCCGGCTGTGTTTGGGGCTAGCTGCCCGCCTTTCCTGTGCACATGGCAGCTGTCATGTGCTGCTGACGTGAGGTGGCTGTCCTGTGTGCCACGTGGGAGCGGCCACCCGGCCCGCGTTTGCTCGGCTTTGGGGCTGGGCCGTGGCTGGCCCTGACGCTGCCTGTGCCGCCCACAGGTCCTGCAGATCTGCCCCAAGGACATGCGGGCTGACATCTGCGTGCACCTCAACCGCAAGGTCTTCAAGGAGCACCCTGCCTTCCGGCTGGCCAGCGACGGTTGCCTGCGTGCCCTGGCCATGGAGTTCCAGACGGTACACTGTGCCCCAGGTGACCTCATCTACCACGCAGGGGAGAGCGTGGACAGCCTCTGCTTCGTGGTCTCTGGCTCCCTAGAAGTGATCCAGGACGATGAGGTGGTGGCCATACTGGGTAGGTGTGGCCGCGGCTGGACAGACACCTTCTGGGGCCTGGTCGGCTTAGCCGCCAGCAGCGTGGGGCCCTGCCCACATCCATCTGTCTAGCAGGCTAACGCGTCCGGTCCAGTGCCTGCTCTGTGCCCGGCACTGTCTGAGACACTGGGATGTTTCAGCGATAATATCTGTCTTGTCATCAGTGCTCCCAGTGTGTGGGGCAGGGGGGTGGAGGGAGGGGGAAAAGGGGTGTGACCACATAAGCAGACGTCTCATCTGTGGGGGAGGGGTACTGAGCACGGGGAGGAGGGGAACAGGGGGTGTCCCTGGGGGTGGGGCCTATGTCTGAGAACCCTGCAGGGTGTGATAGCATCCCTGGAACTGCGACTTCTAGGGCTCAGAACCCAGAACAAGGAGCACAGTGGCAGATGGGGCTAGGGCAGAGCCAAGCAGGCAGGCCGCGGCCTGCTCTGGAATCCAGGCTGAAGTGCTTGCATCTGGTTTGGGGGTTGCTGGGTGGGAGGGGGCAGGGGTAGGCTTCAAGCTCAGTTACTGAGTTGAGGGAGGAGGCTGGGGCTCGTGCTCAGCACAGGGGAGCAGCTGTGTCTGAGGCGCCCCTCACCGGCCGCCCAGAATGACCAGCATGCACAGGCCCACCAGCAAAGCAGCCACACCACAACCCACCCCTGGAGAGGGGGCACAGATTGTCCAGAACTTGGGAAATGCAAGAACATTTGTATTGATTGGAAGGGAGGGTAGGGAGCTGTTCTCGCTCTTAATTCTGTGGTTGCTTGAGCAATTCGCAGACTGGTTTGCCAGCCCTGGAGACGCTGGTAGCAGGAGAGTTACAGGTTGTGCTCAGGAAGGTTCTCGTGAGCCAGGCGCCCAGAGACGGCTTGGTTAGATCAGCAACTATGGTAAAGCACAGCAGCGGCTATTAAGCACGGCAGCATGGAACCATACTAGCCCCTGAACTACACCAAAATGTGTGTTTGAGTAGAAGAGAGAGGAGGACATGCCAGACGTTCGCCTAGGCTTCAGTAACGGTGACTGGAGGGCACCTTTATTTTCGACTTTTTAATGCGGCTCAATGACTTCCTGTAGGGCACGCATCCTCTTACTAAGGAGGGGAAATCAAGTCAATTTTCACTTCTTAGCTATCATGACCTCAGAGCTATCCACTGCTTTCAGTGAGATCCGTGGTGGGGTTTCTCAGTGGTGAGGCAGGTGTGCAGCCGTGGGAGGAGGTCGGGGGATGCGGGGGGCACGTGGTGTCCGTGCGGTCCTTCCTCTTAGTTCTGGGTGAGGCACCGAGAGGCAGGCTGTTGGCCTGCAGGGAGGCTGGCAGCCGTTTGGGGGGCCGTTTCATTCCTTTCAGGAGATTACTTGTACCAGAGGGAGATTTCTAACAGACCTCATCTTCTTTTCAAGTTTGCTAATTTTTAGCTCCGTGCTGAGTGCATCCCGGTGAGCTCAGGGCCGCAAATTCCCTCTCGAGTCCAGTCCCCCCTCAGAGGCCCTGAGACGTCCCAAGTCCTCATCCTTGGCCCTGGCTCCCTGGTTCTTCTTGGGCCCTTCTCTTCGTGGCTGCTGACGTGTTCATTCCCTAGACATTCCCATGGCATGTGATGGCTGGAGGCCAGCAGTGAGTCACAGACATGTCTGGCGTGAGCCCACGCCCCCCAGTGACAGGCAAGCCAGGAGTGCAGGGTGCTGTGGAGACTATGAGGCAGACATCCAGTCCAGCACAGCCAGGCGAAATCAAGGCAGGCTCCTTGAAAGAGGTGGTGACCCAGCCGCATCTTATAGGATGAGCTGTCTCGCGAGGAGCAGTGGGGATTGGGATGGGGTTACAGACAGTTCCAGGCAGAGGGGACAGTGTCTTTACGGTGCTGGTGCCATAGAAAGTGGACAGCAGGCGGGGAGACTAGCCAGGAGGTTCTGGGGCTGATGGTGGAAAAAAGTAGGCAGAGCCCAGCAGTGGCATAATGGTCAGCACTGGCCGTTGGTTGGCTCTTGCGAGGTACCAGGGGAGGGGCTGGGACCACATGGAGGGTGTTCTGGGAATGGGGTGTGCAGGAGGGACAAGTCAGAGCATCACTACATGTCTAGGGCAGGTAACAGGTGCCCTCTGACCCTCTCCTGCCTGGGCAGCACATGGCCACACCTGCTGCAGCACAGTCACCGTGGGCGCCTTTGTGCCCAGCTGAAACCCCAGGGTCCCGTCTCTACCAGGGGACCCCTGGCCTGGGGGATAGTGCTTCAAGGTCGGAGCTCTGTCTGGTTTGTCCTTCCTCAGCACCTCGTGTGGTACCTGGCCCAGGTGTACCCCCATTGCTGCGGGTGGAAGAGGAGGATGTGTGGGAGAGATGGGCTGGGAAGCGGGGCTCACCATCCTTTTCCTGGGGCTTCTGCATCCTGGAAGTGGCCTTCTGGGCTGCTAAGAGGGTTCTTCTTCCATGGTGGTGACTGTTTATTGAACACCTGCTGTGTGCCCACCAATCATCATCCTGATGAAGTGTGAGGTTGCCTGAGGAGGGAGCAGGCAGTGAGGTGGGCAGAGGGTCTGACCCCACCCCCCATGTGTCCCTGGCCTCTCAGCACCTGGCAGCATAGCCCATCTGGTCTTTGAGCAGCAGGGAGTGCTGCATGCAGGCTGTTGAGCACGCCAGGGTTTGCAGCTGTGGAGAAGGGCACTTCCTGTCTCACCTCTCACCTCTGTGGTGAGCAGGGGCCAGACAAGCCAAACCAGGGGTGATGCAGAGACTTCTGAATGCCTTTCAGATTACCTGAAGCTGTAGCTTGGGCCTCAGAGCCTTTGCACAGCTGCTTCTGCTTCCTTGGGTCAGCTCCACAGTGGCCTTTGTGCTGGTCGCCGGAGCTCTCCCCCAGGTCTCAGCTCAGCCCTTATCCTCCAGAAGCCTCTGTACCCCTGAACTTGAGCTGCAACACCCCCGGCCCTCCCACAACATGTGTGATCACCGAGTGTCCACCCACCTCCTCCACCTCCTGCCTGCCATCCCATTGCGCCCCGCTCCCCTGGACGGTGCCTGCCTCCGTGGGCTGGTGACCAGGTGAGCACTGGCTGGCATGGTCCTGGCAGTGGCTGTGGAGGCAGGAGCAGCCGCTGACTTCTCACTTCCCACCATGTGCCGCTTGGCCCGGTCACCAGTACATGATCTTAATGAGAGCACATCGTGGCAGCAGTGGAGGGAGACGGCCCCGAAGCTCACCCCTGTCCTGCCCAGCTCTCGCAGCACCTGTCTGTGTAAACAGGACCTCTTCTGAGGGTTCCAGACTCAGATGTCAGTTTCACATCTGCCTCTCTGCACCACTAGGCCTTGGGGAGGCTGTTTGGCTCTCCTGGGGCCATTGAATTTGCCTTCCGCATCCCATACCCCATCCATGCACCCCCTTCCATGCCTGTACCCTACTCTGGCTGTCCTGCCTCTACCCCAAGAGACCAGAAGTCTACAGGCTCTTGGCTTTCTCATGCCAGGCTGCTGGAAGCACGCCCCTGCCCATCCCTGGCCCCAGGCTCCCCTGCCCGTGAATGTTCTTCACCCCACGCAGGCACCCCAGGGGTGTTCACGCCCGCACCCAAGGGAGGTGCACATACAGCTGTGTGGAGCGGGGTGTTTGTGGGGACGCTGTCTTGGAGTGTTAATTAGACGTTTTTCTTTACTTGCCTTTTTTCTTAATTTTCCCCGTATCACAACATCCACTCAGAATGCATTTCAGAAATTTGGCACATCCGTGTTTAACATTCTGTACTTGGCGCCCAGTAATAAATTAATCAATACGCTGATTGTTCCAAGCGCTTCGTGGCTGCTGCTCGGGCACCTTCTGTTCTTGGAGAATGTTCCTTCATGCCAGGGGGCCAGGGTGGGGGTGAGGAGCTGCCCCCCATGTCCTCCGCCGAAGCCAGGTATCCAACAGGTGGGCCGCAGCTGCTCCCTGCTCCCCCTCACGTGCCCCAGACCCAGGGTCTCCTAGTCCAGCCCCTGCCTGGTGGCCTTGGCTGTTTGGAGCCTCCCAGCCGGGCACCACACTCTGGCACCATGCTCCCTGCACCACACACCACACTCCCGGCACCATGTTCCCTGCACCATGCTCCCAGCCCGCTCAGGTCTTTATACCCAGAGGCCCCTTGACAGGAGCAGCTGTGGGTCTTGGATCTGGGTGGAAAGTCGACTCCTGGGGCACAGTCACGACAGCAGTGGCCTCCCCCCTGCCAATGGGCTCATCTCCCACGAAGCGCATGGTGGCCGTGGCTCTCCCAGTGCAGTTCCTGTCAGAACTGGGTGGGAAGCGTGTGCGCAGAGCTGGTCCCTCTGCATGCCTGTTGGCTTCCTGCTGTTCCAAGCACCACATTCTTTTCTTTTTTTTTTAAAGATTTATTTTTTATTTATACAAGAGCAGGGGTACAGGCCAGATATGCTGGAGGGTGAGAGGATTCACCAGAGATAGAGCGGGGAACAGAACAGGCAGACTGATGAAATACACTGCTGAGGGGAGCAGCGGGCGAGACAGGAGAGGTCTGTTCGCCATGTGGGTTGCTCTGAGGCCGGTGGGGATGGAACCAGTACTGCAGAGGCTGCGGACAGCTTCACAGCACTGCACTCAACCCGCTGCACGACCAGGGAGGCCCAACACCACATTCTTGTTTTGTGCCCCTAAGGAGTCGTTCAGACACTGAGTTTGTACAGGCAGATGGCGTGTGCCTGGTGTTGCGTGAGGTGTTGTTTACCTTGTGGGCTCTTTCAGAGCTGGGAGCGCTGCCCCTATGTCGCCTGTGGAGCCCATGCCGGCAGGAGCCTGGCAAGGTCACCGTGTCCTGCTCGTCCTGATGCGGTCACTGATGTCTTACCCTCCGGCAGGGTCTGTGCATCGGCCTGGTCTCTGGGGAGCCAGAGCCATGGGACTCCTCATGGCCTCTCAGCCTGGAGTGCCGGCCCAGCGTCGGCTCCCTATCCCTGCAACAAATTGCCCAACGGAGTGGACGGAGACCTCACTCTTGCTCCTGGCTGCTTCCCACGTGTGGCTGCTGGCCGAAGGGACGCTGTCCCAGGTGGCTCCTGGGCTGGCTGGCAGAGGCTGCCTGTCCTCCTCCTCTGCCCTCCTCCACCCCAGGGGCTGGGTCCAGGAGGGAGAAGCAGGCTTCTGGTGCCCCGGCCTCAGGGCCCCCCTCCCACCAGTCCAGGCAGGGCCTCAGTCGGCCCAGATTCGGGGGGCTGGGTTCGCCGCCTGCTGGGAGCTGCAGCGTGTGGATGGGGCCATGTTTGACCACACAGCTGGCACAACTGTGTTTGACCACCACAGATGGCACAACCAGAGCAGCTTTCTCCCAAGGGGGCGCAGATGTGCGAAGGCGCCAGGGCTTTGGGTGCAGGGAGGTAGGTGATCACTGCTCAACATGTGCCCAGGTTAGTTCAGTGCTCCAGCCACCTCATGTGACCTGTCTCCATGGGAACCAGGCAGTGTCCCACCCACCAGAAAGTGCCCGAAACCAGCCACATCTAGGACACAGAGTTGGAAACACCTGGAAAGGGATGGAAAAGCACCGTTTTGAGGGCACATTTACCCAAAAGCTCCCCAGAGCATGTCTCCTCTTGGCAGTGGGTCCATAAAACCCTGCCTGTTGATGAGAGCAGCTCAGTCTCAGCACCCAGAGGGGGGTACTGCTCGGTCTGTGTGAACAGAGCTTACCGGCTTGTGGGGATGCTCAGAGAAGGCGGGGCTCACGTCGGGGTGTCTGGGGAAAGTCAAACTCTGCCCAGATGCCTGGGAGGTTGGTGACCTCGCAGCTCAGTCGGGAACAGGGGCGGGGGTGGGGGCCCATGCAGGCGGCCACAGCTCCGGGCTCACCAACCTCGCCCCACCTCAGTGCATTGCTCCTTCCCCTGCATGCTCTTTTCAGGCTCCCTGGGGATCCAAATTTGTGTTAATCTGTGCTGAAAATTTAGAGGCAATATAAACAGCATTTCGAGCTATTTGTAACCAGAGTTGGTGGCAGGAATGAGCTGGGCTTTGCATCAGATGCAGGCTGACATGGTGCTGTGCTGGGGATAGGGAGGCCGAGTGTCTCAGGTGGAAAATGCAGGTAATGAGTGGACAGGTTTGACCCAGAATAAAGCTAAGTGGGGTCATGACTTGCTAAATACACCCTGTGGGATGCCGGGTGCTGAGGATACTGGAGACGCCAGGGCACAGGCCCCCTTAGCAGGGGCAAGGGACACTGTGGAGGGAGGGGGTCAGAGGGTGAGGGCTGAGCAAACACAGCCCTCAAGTGCTGGATTGGGCGCAGATGGGCAGTGCCCACTCTTGCCTGGCCCCTTCCACCTGGCGGTCCTCGCCATGGACGCTGGCACCTGCTTCAGCCCCCTTGGTGTCCATGCCCCACCAAAGCAGCCGGGTGCTCACCTCCACTTGGCCATCCTCACTGTCACCTCCCTTGCTTCTTTTCTGCCTGCAAATATTGACAAGGCACCTACTGCATGCCAGGCACTGCCATGGGTGATGCTGGGGAAAGGCACACAGTTGCTCACTGCAAGACAAACTGTGGACGAGGATACAGCACAACTGCACGTGGTGGCCAGTTCTTTGGGAAAGCAGGGGTGACAGGGAGCAGCTGGGGTCCCTATCTGTGGTGTGATGAGGAGTAACCAGCTGAACGCTCACAAGCAGTACAGGGCGTTTCAGGATCTCTTAAATTGCACATTGCTAAGGTTCAAGATTGAATTGGTTTTGACTCTTTTGGCCCAGACTGCGGAACGCTGCCGGGCAGCCCTTCTGGGAAGCAGGGGTGCCTCAGCCAACACTTCCTCACCCCACTTTCTCTCCTTAGGGAAAGGGGACGTGTTTGGGGACGTGTTCTGGAAGGAGGCCACCCTGGCCCAGTCCTGTGCCAACGTCAGGGCCTTGACCTACTGTGACCTGCATGTCATCAAGCGGGATGCCCTGCAGAAAGTGCTGGAATTCTACACAGCCTTCTCCCACTCCTTCTCCCGGAACCTCATTCTGACCTACAACCTACGCAAGAGGGTGAGGTTGTGCGATCCGGGCCTCCTCTCCAGACTGGGGGTGGCCTGCGGCAGGAGAGTCCTTTTGCTGTTGATTTGGGGGGCAGTTGGGTCAATGAAGAGGCTGTTGATTGGGGGGCAGTTGGGTCCCTGAAGGTGGTGTTGACTTGGGGGGTGGCTGGGTCTGTGAAGATGCTGTTGATTTGGGGGGATTGGGTCATGAAGATGCTGTTGACTTGGGGGGCAGTTGGCTCCATGAAGGTGCTGTTGATTTGGGGGGCAGTTGGGTCCATGAGGTGCTATTGATGGGGGGGTTGGGTCTATGGAGAGGCTGTTGATTTAGGGGGCAGTTGGGTCTATGGAGAAGCTGTTGTTATGGGGGGAACAGCTGGTCTGCTCTTGCTCCCCAGAATTTCTGCCAACTGGGAAAGAGGATCAATGTTGGTGCAGGAGGGATTTGTTCATGAGTGTGGGGTGTGGGTTTCCCCAGCAATGTCTAGACCTTCTGGCATTTTGAAAATTCACGTAAAGCATGAGGAGGTTCATGAGCATCTGAGCATAGCCCCTGCATCAACGTAAACCAATTGGCAGAATCCTCTCCCCGTGTTCTTGACAAACCCCTCTACCCCCAGACTCCTCTGTGTGCCAACCCCAGGCCCTGCCAGCTGTGCTCACCTGGACCCTGCTGGGTGACCCCCAGTGCTGCCCCTGGAGCCTCAGGCTCATGGAGACAGGGGCTGATGGGGGACACACGGGGGGCATGCGGTGCTCAGTGCAGGCCACGTGGGTGCTGGGTGCACTGGGGAGGGGGCGGCGGGATGGCCCAAGCTGAGTCTCACAGGAGGAGCTTGTCATCAGAGAGTGGGTGTGTGGCCTAGAGGTGTTTGAGGCCCAGGGAAAGGAAGCAGCAGTGCCCTCCTGGCCATCAGCCCAAGCCCCACCTGGTCATGGCACCCAGTCATGCTGCCCCTTGTCCCCAACCAGTTTCAAAACCCGTGAGTCACGTTGTCCATGAGTCCCCATCCAGAGACCTACGGGGGCAGGGGGGTGCTTGGTGCCTTAGCGCCCCAGACCTGACCCAGCGCTGATGGCACTCAAGGATGGGAGGGAGATACAGGCTCTCGGAGCCACAGTGCCCACGCCCAAAGGTGCACTTGGGGTGGGGACTGCCGTGGTACTGAGAGTAGACAGCTGGCCTCTGAGGCCCACGGGCGGGGGTGGGCCCTGGTAGCAGGACAGTCAGCTGGAGAGGGGTACTGGTAGGCCTGTAGCCCAGTGGGCACTCTCAAAATTTCTTTTCAAAAATGTGTTCCTTCTTTTTATGAAAGCAAGTTGATTACAACGAGCTTCCAGCGCTGCTGATCACACAGGGGCACAAGTGTGTGGGGTATTTGGAGGAGGAATCATCTCACATGACTGTGGGTCAAGTCAATCTGTCTTAACTCAAAAGCAGCCACACCTAGGTGGCCAGGCTGATTTTGTGCCCAAAGTGAGAGACATCTCTGCCGAGAGGACAGTGGGCAGGCTGGCAGGAAAGGCTGAGAAGAGCAGCCTGGGACGGCAGCAGGGCGGAGACCCCAGAAGAGCACCCATGAGAATCAGGTCTGCCAACTTCAGGCCTCCTTGCAGCCCCAGTGCCTCAGTCTGTGTGGACCCGGGGGTGTAGAGAGGTCCTTATGGGAAGAGGGAGCAGTCTCTCTTTTGTGGGGAGGAGATTTGTCATTTTGGGATGGCCATTGTCCTCTCTCTGTGTCCTTCTAGAATTAATTGGGGGTGACTAGCACAAAGAGGACGAGAATACTGCACGCATGAATAACTCCTGTAGCTGTTTTTATTTCTGGTGCAGTGAAGTCTCTTCTTGTGGCTGTTTCTGTCTCGGCAAAATCAAGTCCATTATGGAAAATTCCTGCACACACAGCTCTCCTGACATGGGCGGGACCCTCACTGTATTCATTTCCACCACTGCCATTCGAGGCCCGTGAGGGTAACGAGGCCAGGCCAGTGTGTGGACCTTTGGCTTTTCTTGCTTGAGGGTGTTGAGTCAGACGCAGCCTAGTCTGGGGCAGGATGCTGCCAGTAGGGCATTTTCTAGATGCTTCCTCAACTGTGAAGTGGGGGTGATGGAAAGTTCCACCATGTGGGACAGTTGTGAGAACTACCTAGGAGAATGCAGGTCCGTCGTGATAAACTCGTCACGAGTTGAAAGTGTCGGCAGTCGAGATTGCATTTAACAACCCAGCCTCACCTGCCTTGAAGGTGCTTGGACCACTCGCATGAGCCCGCGGGGGACAGAGTCTCTCCCACGAAGCCTGCTTCACAGTACATGCTGCACCCTTGGGGGACGCACTCCTACGCTGAAAGTGAAGACAGACTAGAGTGTACTGTCCCACGTGCTGACGGGGCTGTCCAGCGTCCTGAGAGAGCTTCAGCCCAGTCTTGCCAGCCCACAAAAAGGTGAAAGTTCAGAATTTGGTTTCTCCTAAATGCGTGTCACTTGCAAGCTGTCAGGGCACTGAAAAAACATCAGTCAAGCCGTCGTGAGGTGGGGACCGCCTGACTTGGCAAAGCTCCTGCCCTGGACCTTGCACACAATAGGTGCGCCATGAAATGTGGGCTGCAGTTATTTGCTGTCTCCACTTGCAGGGTAGCCTCGAGATCATGGGCCTTTGGAACCTGGAGGAGTCTTTCTCCGCCCTTGCCCGGGAGGCGCTCCTCTCTGCATGGCCTGCAGGCGGATGCTGCTCAGGTTCCTCACAGCCGTGCACAAAGCTCAGGGCGGTGGCTCCGGAGGTATGCACCGTGGTGTCCTCGCAGCTCCGTAGCTCCTGCGGTGTGGAGACCACACTGGCCCTCCCCAGCCAGCTCTGCAGCTGGAGGGAAGGACGCACATGTGTTAGGTATATCATAGGAAGCCAGGGGTTTGCTCAGAGGGAAGTGCAACTTCTTGTTTCCTCCAATGGAGGCAGCTCGTGGTATCCCCCAAAAGTAGGGGGCATGGAGCCCTCCCCACCAGACCCTTGTCCTCTGAGGTACCAGCCCCGGGTGTTTCCTCAGGCCCAAGATGCCCTCTGCCTGCAGACAGAGCTTTGACCTCAGAGCCCTCCACCCGCTCCCACCACCACACAACCCCCTCACCTGTGTAGAAAATCCTCCGAACAGCCCCAGGACATTCAGAACCAACCCTGTTTCTCAAGACAGTAAACTCGGATGTCCAGAGAAGACACTGCAAGGTCACCAGCTCCTGGTGGATTCCTGAGCTGCGGAAGGTAGCGTCCTGCTAAGCAACGTGCACCCCAGGGTGTCCCCCCAGCCTGCCTCTGTTGCCTTTGCTATCTCAGGCCTGCTGACTTTCTCGGGGGACCATGTTTGTCTCCAGTGCCCTCAGTCTCCCCAGCACACTCAGCAGCACACAAGAAACATCAGTCAGTCCCAGGGGCTCTGCCCGTGGGGTTCCATGTAGGCATGCGGGGCAAGGCTGAAGCTTAACTGCGCTGGACAGCAAGCTGCAGCCTGGACGTTCCTGCCAGACAGTGCAGCTGGGGGTGGAGGACCGAGGCTGCATCCTGGCGTGACTGTGTGAGCCTTGAGCACATGTCTGAACTCCAAGTCTCAGCACCCCTGTCTGTGTCAGGGTGTAGCCAGCATCCCGACTGGGGGCCAGGGCTGCTGAGCAGGTCATGCACGTGACGATGAGCATGGCGAGGCCGGTGGCCGAGGAAGCACTTTTCCTCTGTGCCTCCCCCACCAGCGCCTCAGGCTGCTGAGCTCACACTTGCCCCTCTTTATCATGGGTCCCCTCCGGCGCCTGTAGGACACCGACAACCACCACCCCCCCGCCTTCCCGGGTGCCGGAGGGGTGGGGGGTCAGCACCCATCAGTACGGGGGAATGTGCTATAGTTAAATGATGCCTTGCAGATGAGCAGTTATGTATGAGCAGCAGCCAGTACTTGGGGTGCCTGGCATGCTGGCAGTTGGGGGTGGCCCTCACATCTGTGGGGCCACGTCCCAGTGCCAGCATATCGGGGGAGCGTGGCGTCTGCTGATACAGTCTGCTCCAGACTGCAGTTTTCTCTGCTGGACAAGTCTCTACCTGGTGGGTCCAGGGGGAGCGAGACCCTGGTGACGCACCAGTGCTCTCAGAGCAGGGGATCCCAATGCCCATTTTCTGAAACCGGGGTTGCCATAGTGACCGTCTTGGATATCAACCGTCCATTTCCAGCCCACTCTCCGCAAGGGCCGTTATTCTGCCGGAGATGAAAGCGTGGGAGCCGGGAGAGGGTGCCGCCTCCTGTGCCCTGCACCTAGCCCTTCTCAAAGGCGGAGAGTTGGGAAGATGGACAGTGAGATGGGGAAGCGGGGCGCGGAGATGCACCCCTTCCAGCCATCTCAGCCTGTGCTCGTCCAGTGGCCTCTGTCCCGATTTTCCTTGTCAGCGCCCCCTCCAGGGTGCGGGCTTTCATGCGATGAGTCGCTTGTTCGCCGTCAAGGCATCAAGGTTGTAAAATCACTGCTGGGACGCGGGGCGGGGAGGGGACAAGTGACGTGAAAGATGAACCTTCGTCCCTTCACGCACCGCAGTAGATCTACACCATGCCCCTTGTCCTCCAGGGGATCAAGGTGTGACTCAGGATCTGTATGGCCTTCCCTGGGCCCCCAGGAAGCTTCCCTGGCGCCCCCACTTGTGCAGAACCCCTGATCTGGGGCAAGACCGTGGACGTGCTTGGCTGCACTGTGTGTGAGTCAGCCCAGCCGTCAGGTGCAGCTGCCGGCAGGTCCGGGGCTCGGCCATTGCTGGCTGGTGAGAGGGAGGTCCCCGGAGCACAGCTTGTGGAGGATGGTTAAGTGGCAGGGGCATGGGGCAGGGGCACGGGAGTTGGGTTCAGGGGGAAGGGGTGGCTAGGCTGTGGACGAGGTAGTGGACTCGAGCCACTTCCCGAACCTCTCTGTGCCCCAATTCATAGTGGTTCCAGAAAGGGGTGGGAGCGGGCAAATCGGTTCAGAGGGGCCAGTTGTCTGGTGAT